AAATACGAAATCCTCGATAAATCAGTAAATATTAAAGCTAATTTATTCAAAACTTATGGTTGCAACAATTCTTTACCAGGAAATACGCCCACTTATGATCACATATATGTATCTCGTTAACCGTTCTAGCAATTTGTACCAAACTCGGTATGGTTATTGTGCTTGCCACATAAAAGAAAACCGTTGAAAATTGTTGAAATCGGACTAAAATTACGGCCGCTTTTCATATAACGGTAAATTTGAGAGCTGCTCGAAATTTAAAAATTTCGAAATTAAGGTCGCTAATTTACTCAAAATTGATACACCCCGGCTTACCATGTAGCGGTAGCTTTCGGAAAGGTGAAAAACATATATTTAATACTTGCGCCGGGTATTTAATGTTCGGCTCCGCCCGAACTTAGACTTTCTTACTTGTTCTAAGTGGTTTGAACCGCTGAACCGAGCCGCACGGATTTTCGGAGCCGCTTGCAGCCCTGGTTCTAACTCCTTCGTCGACCTCAACCTTTATGTTGTACCTACGCCTTCAAACCGTCTAAGTAGTATTTTCCTATAGCGTTCCCAATTAAAACTTCTAGGATCTCTGAGCACTTTACTATTTCTTTATACGTCGCGTTAGCTACTTCTAAGTCTTTTTATACCCGAGCGCACTTGTGCACAAGGGTATTATAACTTTGTTCACATAACGGTTGTTTGTAACAGGCAAAACGAATCGAGATAGATATAGACAAATGTATACATAAATGATCAGAATGAAAAGAGAAATCGATTAAGCGGTGACTGTCTGTCCGTCCGTCCGTCCGTCCGTCCGTCNCGCCCACTTATGATCACATATATGTATCTCGGTAACCGTTCTACCAATTTGTACCAAACTCGGTATGGTTATTGTGCTTGCCACATAGAAGCAAAACGTTGAAATCTATTGAAATCGAACTAAAATTACGGCCGATTTTCATATAACAGTAAATTTCAGAAATGCTTGAAACTTCAATATTTCGAGAATTAAGGACGCTAATTTACTCAAAATTGATACACCCCGGCTTACCATGTAGCGGTAGCTTTCGGAAAGGTGAAAAACATATATTTAATACTTGCGCCGGGTATTTAATGTTCGGCCCCGCACGAACATAGACTTTCTTACTTGTTATTATATAAAGTTAAGAAGTGACTCACCGATTTCATTTATGTCCGCGCTTCCCCACACCGTTTGATGTGCATTCGCGACGGATCCTATTATGGGCTTCGTGGCGCCTAATAAGAACTTTACCCGTTTTCCAATTCAAAAGAGCGTTTAAAAGCAAAAACAGTCCGTAAAGTTAAAATTTTTAGTTTAAGTTGAAACCACTAAGCGCAGTATCCTTCTGACATATAGGCCAAAAATATTAACGCTGTGATACCATAAGGAATACTACTCCCTTTCGATGTCATGAGCTTTACCGATGGTCTTATTTCCACCTGTGAGATCTCTGCCAAGCATGCGTATTTTTTTTTATGATTTTGCAACTACAACATTGGTCCGATGCGTAAGCCAACACAAGCCCTTATAAGGAAACTCAAAAGCACAGATGTGTGTTTTCTGTTATAGGAGGGCCAAGGTGCGCTAACACAATTTTCGGTATTTCTATGCATACTTAACCCCATCCTTCATTTAGACATCTGAAAACTAAATTAGTATAACTTAAACATAGGGCCAAAGCAGACCAAACACATGGTGTTTCTATACATTTCGACTGCCATTGGGTTCATTTTCTGCACAACTATTGCTTATCATAAAATGAATACTTATTATGAATTTCAACCAGATTGTATATAAAATACGGATTTTAGAAATATGTACGTCGACTAAATAAAAGTTCAAATTTAAACTAAATTGATTAGTAAATACGACTTTTAATAATAACACTACTCCAGCGCCACCTAGCGAGTCTTCTAGTAGAATAGGTCAATATCTGCACGGTTAACCTCCGACAATTTGACTGAACTCTATCCAGTGGTTTTTGAGTTTAGTCCGAACAACGAAAACGGCTATCATTTTAATGTATAGGTATGTAGACAGGACAGCCTATAACGAAACTCATAAAAATCAAAGCTCCAAACTTTGTGCAAAATTTAAAAAAAAATTTAAAATTTTTTACATTTTACTAAAAACTAAAAACAAAGTTGCAATAGAGGCATTCTTGCACGAAATGAAGAAATCCTATTCCAAATTTCGAAGAGTACGAGTGCACCCCATGACAAGTGACAGCATCCATGGATAGCAAGCAGCGATTTTATGTATCAAATACAATAACAAGAGATAGCAAAAGAAAATTGGAGTGAGCGTGATAAGAGGAATAAGAGAAATATTTGCTATATACAAACAACTAGCACAGGGTCGCTTTTATCTTGCTATGCTATTTTGCAAAATATATACATGGGTTTCGACGTTGCATATTTTCAGCGATAGGAAGTGTTGTTTCCCGTGTATTTTGTTGCAGTGTGTTTGCAAGTTATGGAATCCATGCAATCCGTGCTACGTGTAATGGCTTTGCAAGATTTGGAGAATACCCCTAATAGTTCAATGCGATTTAGAGACCTAGGGGAAAATGGTTCCCAATCGAATGATACTTGCCCGTTTACGCAAATGTATATAGATGCAGCCTTTCCAATAACTACCACCTTTCGCCATAAGTACAGTGTATAACATATGAAGCTTTGTCGAATTTCAGGACGTTAGCATAATCGGTTCCTGAGATAAGCGACATGAGTAGTTCAGTTTGTACGGGAGGTGCTTCGCCTCTTCTTCCAATACCTACTACTTTTCGCCATAATTACTGTTTTGATACATATGTATGTAGATGTGTCGAATTTCAGGACGTTAGCGGTAAGCTATATGAGAAGTTCAGTTTATATGGCAGGTGCTACGCCCCCTTTTCAATGCCTACCAGTTTTCGTCATAAGAAGAGTATTTGCAATTTATGCATCCGTGCGTGTTAAGTTTCAGTTCCCCAGCGTAATTGGTTTTAGAGATATATTGCTTTTTTACGTTTTCGTCTGTATAACAATTTTAAGAATATCCCGACCCCAGCGCTGTTGAAAAGTAATGAATATCTAAATCCCGGGACTAGTCCCGGGATCCCGTGATTGTGATAATGACATCCCGAAAATCCTGGAATTGGAAAAACCTGAAAAATTAACATCCCTAATATCTATGTATTTATTTGTATCGTATGAACTTAAGATATTTTTTATAGCACACATTTTGTTGAAACAATGAGATTGGTCACACTTGCCTGGTTATCAGGTTATCTGGTTAAAATTATTATTGTGTAGTGTATTCTATTGTTGTAAACTGAATAAAAAATATAATCACATTAGGTTATGCAAGCGTGAGCAACCTCAATATGTAATTTCGTTAAAATATGAATAATCTAGTTACATTCCGATATTTTATGTTTATAGTTGGACTTTTTTACTACTGGCGAGGATCCGTGCAATGTGCTTGATGGTTCCGAAGGTGTACTATTTGTCAAAAAACCAGATGGACGTGCTACTGGGGACGCTTTCGTGTTATTTACTAACGAGTCGGATGCACCCAAGGCCCTCTCTCGGCACCGGGAGTCAATTGGTCAACGTTATATAGAACTATTCCGGTCTACAACGGCAGAAGTCCAACAAGTGCTAAATCGCTCAATGGACCCGAGAACCTATGAAGCTAATCATCAGCCACCTCTGATAGCCCAATTGCCGGCAATGCCGCTGTCACTGCTGCCGCAGGTAATGTTTTATTTATTTATTACTAGCAGACTCGGCGAACTTTATCTCGCCCAAAATTAATTATTGAAACATTTGGTCCAATGCTTTCGCCAAAAATTTACGTTCACGTTTGGTTTTGGGGTCGTCAGAAGGCATGGAGGATTGCCGTCTTAAATAACCTAATGAAAGCGATATGCCCGTGAAGAAGTTCTTGCGGAAAAATGATCAGGTTCGATAGTTAATCGTCCTTGAATCTTTATAGTATAGTTAGTGGAAATTTCAAACTGGAGGTATCATAGGTACACATAAATCCAATATACGCACAATTACAATGGAATTTATAGGCATTTATCAAGAATTGTCTTTATTCTGTTTAGTCCGGAAAGGAAGAACCGCAATGGTTCTGATGGTTGTCTCCGAATGAGTTCACTTGATGATTTTTACAAATAACTCTACTCCAGACCCACCTTGTAGCTCTTTTTACAACGCTATTATCAACTTGCAATGTTGTGTGTCTAGTCAGCACTTATAGCTATTAAACCTTTGCTTTGCAAAGCTCCTATAAAAAGTCTAAGCATCAACCTCGTCCATACAATTGACACGAAAGGTAGATTTCGCCTTGCCGGAAGTAGTTAAATATTGCGCATAAAATATGCACTACATGCGCTACAGCGGAAATGAACGACCTGCTATTTCTTTAAATGAAACTAATTGGTGCTCGTATGTATGTATGTACATTAGAGTGCATCACCACAAAAAGTTGCGGTTTTTCCTCTGGGATTACAAAATTTATTATATTTTACGGCGTCCACCAAAATATTTTAGAAAAATATTACGATTTACGTAAGCTGGACCGATGTGAAAATACCTGGAGTTTTTTATGAATAAAAATAGTTTTTTAAAGAACTATTTGAAAAAAGCCCTCTCAGATGACAAAACAGATTAAGCTTAAAAAAACTGCATAAAAATATTTAAAAATCTTCTCAACGGAATCTTAATAATGAGATTTTTGATGCTGTTTTTTTTACTTTTTTCAAAGATTGATTTACGAAAAACTTGAATAACTTAGCCAAAACTATTCTGATTTAGATTTATGGGATCTCAGTAGAAAGGCATTTTCCCACTGTTTCCCACAAGTCTACATCGGAAGAGTTTAGGTTCAGTAATAAAATTCAAGTTTTTCTTACACCAATCTTTGAAACAAGTTAAAAAACAGCATCAAAAATCGCATTATTACGATTCCGTTGAACATTTTTTTTTAATATTTATATGCAAATTTTTTAAGCTTAAACCGTTTTGTCATTTCTATTCACCATATCTACTACATATTTGTGGAAGTATGTATGTATGCATGTATGTGCCAGGTTGCAGCCTAAACGGACTCACAGAATCGAACGAAATTTTGACAGAGTATTGCCATGACACCTGGGGCCTATTTCATAAAAGTAACTGGTGCGACAATTATCGACTTTTCTATAAAATTTCACTGCCAGAATTGTCGGCGACTTTTTTCTGTTTCATATTATGCAATATTGTGGAATATTTTCGACAATTGTGCTGACAAATGTCACCCTGACAAAATCTTCGCGACAATAGCGACAAAACCAAATAGCTTCGTCGGAAAGCTTTCACAGAAGAGTTTGGTTGTTAGACGCACCTTTTTTTCTGCGTATCTTGGTTGCATGAAGATAGTGGTGCGAGTCGATGTTTGGCCATATGTACACCTAAAACACTGGAAGCGTGCCGTCCGTCTATCACAACATGCTCGAAGCGGTTTCCCGTTTTTCGATCTGGAGACAGCCATTTAGTTTGATGGATATTTTTGTGCTAAAATCCACTACTACATTCTACAATGTTTCGGGCCCCGGCGAAGTCGATCAGACTTAGCCCGTTATCGGACGTTTCGTTATGGAGGATGCATTTTCCGATAGTGGCGCCAAAGATCCCTTCCTTTCCCACCGTGGAATTGGAGTCGCCAAGCGTGAGTTATGTCGTGACGGGGGCTGCGCTCGCATGTGTTCTCCAAGCGCTCATAAAACGGATCCCTGGATGCCTCGTCCTTCTCTTCCATTGGGGCATTGGCACATATTAGCGCGATGTTGAAGAATCTCGCTTTGTTTTCCAGAGGACTTCAACCATCGGGCGGACGGAGCTTCCCGATTAAGGGTCCGGATATTCTAGGTACACACCCTCAAATCCTTTCTACGTTTGCCGTGATCGTCGTCAAAAGAAGGGGGTATCATCCGAGGCATGCTTTTTTTCATTGGGCAGGGTTTTAACGTGGCGGGACAAATACCCAGTGCACGCTGCTGTATTTTTTTAAATTCATAGCTCTACATACCTGTATAGTAAACCAAATAACCGGACAAGACGTTATTGAAAATAGAAATGCAAAAATCAAGTTTTCCATATAGTCTGTCATATTCCTCCGCAATTTCGCAAGGTAAACTAACAATTTATACATCGTTGCTTTGCACCGAAATATCATATGACGGCGCATCCAACATTTTGAGTATGCAGATTTTTTATGGTGGTATATATTATTAAATAAAAAATTAATTAAGGGCCGTTAACTTATCTATTTTGAACTATTATTACACTTAACTAGAGAAAATTCTGTGTAATTTTTCTGTAGTTAATTTTAATTAATGATTTAACTATAATTTAAAATAGATATATTAACGGCCCCTAATATGCTGTTTTTATACCCGAGCGCACTTGTGCACAAGGGTATTATAACTTTGTTCACATAACGGTTGTTTGTAACAGGCAAAACGAATCGAGATAGATATAGACAAATGTATACATAAATGATCAGAATGAAAAGAGAAATCGATTAAGCGGTGACTGTCTGTCCGTCCGTCCGTCCGTCCGTCTGTCCGTNATCGAAACTTGGTACGTACACTTCTCTCTAGCGTAGGACGGATGGTATTGAAAATGGGAAAAATCGGACAATAACCACGCCTACCTCCCATATAACGGTAATTTTCAGAAATACGAAATCTGCGATATTTTAGAAACTACTGAAGATTATTCACTCAAAATTGATATTTACAATAAGTTTTAGACGAAAAATAAGAATACTATACATTTTTGGAAAATGAGCGTAGCCACGCCCAATTATGGTGCTTGCCACATAGAAGCAAAACGTTGAAAATTATTGAAATCGGACTAAAATTACGGCCGTTTTTCATGTAACGGTAAATTTCAGAAATGCTTGAAACTTCAACATTGCGAAATTTAAGGGCGCTAATTTACTCACGCACTCGTGAACAACGTGGGCAACGTGAAGAACCCACGCGCGAGATGCGGTAACCAATCCGAATGGAGCCTTTGGTCACGGCAGAAAGAGGGGCCACTCCAACTTATTCGGTTTAAGGGCACACTGAAGTCTGCAGCGTCTGTTCACCAGTAGGTGCGGCTGCAAGCGGGTGTCTGCTTGGAGCAAGCGGCTTGCTATATAAACGTGTATTTCGTTGCGAAACCACCCCCGACTCAGCAATGAGTTGTGCGCTGGGTTTGGGACCCGCCACGTAAAAACCACTTCCAGTGAAGAAGCAAGGCAAAGCCTCGGATGAGACCCCCCCTTATGATGACGACCACGGCAAACGTTTAAAGGACTCCGATTTGAGGGCATGCACCTGGAATGTCCGGACCCTTAATGGGGAAGGTGCCTCTGCCCGGCTGGTTGATTTCCTCGTAAGGA